TTTTTTTTTTGTTCAAGGAATCGCGTTATAATTCGTAGATCCCCGTTGATATTGGATGGAATTTAACAAAAACCTGAAACTTTTAAAAACTTTTGAAGGACCTTAATTTTCAACCGAGAAATTTTCATACTCATATGTATAATATGTTCGATGTATTAAAATATTATTAAGAAGGTTTCATGACGGATCACATTGACCAAAATATTTTTTGAACGGAGAAAAGCAGAGAAAGCAATTTTATTGGACAAAGAATAAAAACAATATGGCACTATCTCAAATCTAAACCAAACACCCTGGCGCGAGCAACTATTCGCGCACATCGGAGGCGATGTTGCATACCCATCCAATTGAAGGAAATCCAACGGCGATGCTCATGCCTTTTGCATTCTCAGAACTCGCGCTCAGACTATTTCAGAGACAACGTCATATCACCATGGGACTTACCATTCTTATGCACTGATCATATTGGATTGGTTCTTGACGACTCTAACGAGCTATGTTGTTCCCATATCGTCACCTTTCAGGCAAAGTATCACAAGAGTCATGCGACGTTTAAAAATTTCCGCCGATACTTTATTTCTTTACTGAGAAATTGTTGGTTGAATCTGTTTGGAAATTTCACTAAATTTTATCGGCAGCACAAAGAAAATTCAGTGAAATTTTCGGACAGCTTCGTTGAACAATTTCTCTGTAAAAAAATAAAATGGCGGCGGAAATTTTTAAACGTCGCATGGCGCTTGTGATACTTTGCCTGGAAGGTGACGATATGTCACTTACGTCAACGCTTGGGATGTTGAATCAATATCGAATAATCCTGATCGATAAATCCTTACCGCAGCAATGCTTTTTATCGATCAAGGTCATTCGACATCGATTCAACGATAAGTAGACATTCGCGTGGAACGCAAACCGCAGGGGCACCAAACTTGATCGTGTTTATATTCTTTCTCAAAAATTCATTTGATTATTTCTCTCCTTCCTCCTGTCCGTCTTCATCATCTGTTTCTTCCTCCTCCTCTGCGGAAAAAATGCTAATGACTGCTTGATTTTTGGCTGCAATTGCACTTCAGTAGCCAGTACCAAATTTTCCGGAGGACACACACAGTCAGGAATCTAGTTACTTATATTATTTTTTTGTACTAGTGCTGTGCTGACGTGCTAAAGAGGAACGCCGTATGAACCTTCGAGAGTTGCCAAATTTTCTCCGATAAAATGTTTAATTTTGAGGAAAGTTATGAATATTTTTTCTCGAAATCTTCAGACACTTAAGATCGAATTTCAAAGAAAATTATCTGATAGATAGGAAGAAAAATATTCACAAATTTTCCCGAAAATTAGTGATTTGTCCAAGGAATTTCGGCAACGCTTAAAGGCTCATACGGCGTTTTTCCTTAGCACGGCAGTGTGGGTCATCGGTCCTATGCGTAGAAACAAGGGGCTTTTTGAAAATTTGATAGTATAGGAGATCATCCTTTTCCTGAATTTGTTTTGTCTAGACTCGTGAATATGCTGAGATGGATAAAGTTGTATGAAAAAGTGATTAAGAAGATGGAAATTTGTTTAGGAATGTGTCCACGTTAGGAATCCTCCCGCCCCCGCATCGTTGTTGCGTTCAAAAGCAATTTCTTAAATGTGTTTCAGGCTCTCTCACCTCCTCTATGTTATTCTTGTTTTCCTTGTTTTCTTTTCTCCTTTACCTTTTGTTCATCAACTAAGAAATTAAAAAGGATCATAAATAAGTTTTCTTCGTCCTTCTCCTTCTGCTGTGAGCCATACGATTTGCATGCTGAATACGCATATTCTTCAAGAGCATCCACCTCTATATTCGGTCAAATATTCAATACAGAGGTAGAAATAAATACATCGGAAGAGTTGTCATGACTGGATTACATTTTGCAACAAGGAACCACTATTTTTGGCCCATTTTAGAAACAATATATGTGTCATTAGTTTCCCTGTGCAAATATGTGCTTTTATGGGAGAGATTGTGGTTCCTAACTGCAAAATGTAATTCAACTGGAAGCTAAAAAATGACCGCCTTAATTGGCGCTTGAGATCCTCACGATCTGCTAATGTATCTATTATGTTCAGGGTTGACTTTCTTCACGTAAAGGGGTGCTTTTCCAAGACGATTTAAATCTTAGGTTTTTTTTTAGCTTTGTGAGCCCAAAATGGCAATCTCCTTGCTGTATTTGCTCTCTATTTGTGCATGGAGAGTTTGACTGGAGAGGTGGTGGACTCATGTATAAAGTAGGGTATATCCTTTTCATTACGACCTCAACTTTGAGAACGTATTTTAATTGCGTTCGGGACCTCGCCTCAGAAAAAAAACTATTGTCACCACCGACCGTGTTTCATGCGAAATTTTACAGAGGACGTGAATTTGAATCGCAAATCTTGGTGCCGTGGAAGAACTCCAGTGAAGTTGCCACTTTCAGGCACATCTTATCTAATCCAAGAGGCCGGATTAGCCGGGGTGCTGCAACACCCCGGACCCCTAACCCAACGGGCCCCCCGGGTGATTTTCTTCACTTTTCTTTATAACCGCTATGTTTAGTCCTTTATCTTAGCAAGTAATCCCACCACACTGGAAAAAAAAACCACATTGGATCTAGAGTCCAGACTCTTAAAAACATCGAAAAGAAAAAGTACTCTTGATTCCATCAGAATCTAGCTTAAATCAAGAACCAAGCCTCTTAATTTAAGCGGATTTCGTTTTGATTGAAGCAAAAATCCGATTGAATCAAGTGTATTTTTTCTTGTCAATGTTTTTAAGAGTCTGGACTCTAGATCCAATGTGTTTTTTTTCCAGTGCAGATTCTCAAGAAGCCCTTGGAGTTTAATAGACAGACTTAGAAAAGCTTGGAAAAGACTGGAATTTTTTGATGTCATGGGGCCCTTAAGTAAATTTTAGGATTTTTGGCGTCTAATGACTGGTAGGATTTGAAAGCCTCATACTGAAATGCGCTGGAGAAAAATCGCTCAAGAGGGACTGCTAAGGGCGAATAGGGGGAGGGTGGGGGGCCTGGCTTTCACAGAAATTTCCTTGGCCTCTACTAGGAGATGTGAAGGATTTTGCAAAGTAAATGCATAACATCTTTCATTTTGGAAATTGGATCAATTTTTCCGTCGTAAAAATAGCTCAAAATTGCTCCTCTGGAAAATCAATTTGTCAATATTTTCCGGAGGAGGTCTCCCATACCCCTTTTAAAGCTAGAAGAATTCCCCAAACCATCGTTTGGAGCGAAAATGGTCCTCCAGATACAAACAGAGAAAAGTTAGAAGTGAATGGCCTATTTTGAAATGCGAAGGAAATCGCCCAGTGTGTCAATTGTGTCATCGCATCGACCATAGAATTGAGCCATTGTTATTGCAATCTCAACCTAAATCGCAAAAATTTGCCTTACTAAGTGCTTACCTCGATATTCATCTGTCACCATTTGGCGAATTTTTCGCTCAACAAGTTGTCCATCAATCATAACTATCCAAAAAGTAATATTAACCTCCGAACTCAACTTTTGCCAGTCCCACTTGAGCCGATTATTTTCCAAATCACGAAAGCGCCGATCTTTATTTGGGTGATATAAAGGGGTTGTTTCTTTGTATTCTCTGGTATCAATCAAGTCTGATTTTAAAACAGCCCTCTAAAAGGACATACATTTTTTGGAATCCGAAGATTGTCAACAAAGCTAATAGAACGGGTTTTCTTGTATTTCTCGCACTCGCAATTTTGGTGGTTACGCGATTTGGAAAATAATCGGTCCATATTGTCTCCGGTCTTGGAAGTGGATTATTCAAGGAGGGCACCCGACAACACAGCCGAGTTTTTCAATGAGGAAGAAGGGTAGGGGGTGGGGGCTGGAGCAGTTGACCGAGTGTGATGCGAAAGCAAAGAGGTTTCACCCTCTTAACCCGATTACTCATTCGCTGCACGTCGCAACCTGATAATCCCACAGGGCTTTACATTCTGACTTGGAGAGGTATTTTAAATGATTTTAAGGAAGCGCTTTATTGCCATGATTAGGAGCGGGCAACGGGAGAAGGGACGAGTGCAGTTCGTGCAACGCGTATCTCCGCAGCTCCGCCATCAGTTATTAAACGCTCCTATACTGCCGTGCTAAGGAAGAACGCCGTATGAGCCTTCAGACGTTGCCAAGTTTCCTCCGATGAAAACCGAATTAACTGGGAAAATTGGGAATATAATTTTCCAAAATTTTCAGACACTTTTTTACGCAATTTAATCTAAAATATCTGAAAATTTCAAGGGAAAATATGTAAGAATGTCGTCAAAAATACATGTTTTGTCGAGGGAAATTTGGCAACTCTCGAATGTTCATACGGCGTTCTTCCTTAGCACGGAAGTATACTAATCGCAATTCAGAGAGAGAGAGTGATCTTGGCAGCCGCCCATAAGTTATGTCAAGCACCTAGCGGGAAGGCTCTTGAATACCTATGTAGGGACAGTGGGATATTCTGCCTGAATGGATATTCTGATAAAATGGTTATTATTGAGGAAAGCTATGGAAATTTCCCCTTGAAATTTTCAGGAATTTTAGGCGAAACTGCGAGCAAAATTATATGAAAAATTGGATGAAACATATTTACAAAATTACCCAAAAATTCTTGATTCACTGGAGGAAATTTGGCAGCGCCTAGAGGCCTCATACGACGTTTTTCCTTAGCACGGAAGTATTGAAAGATCAATTTCTGATTGGCTGAGGTCGTGTACAGTTGTTTCTCTGGTGGCTCCTATCGGTAGGAGGCCTTGCATGGATTCCCTGGTAAAAATAAGCCATAAAGGCGATAGAGAAATCTTATGGCCGTCTGTTGGATTTTCTATAGCTTTTATAGCTGGCGATAGGATTTCTTATCGCCCTTATGGCCGGCGATAAAAAGCGCTATCGTCACGAATGGCCGGCGATAGAAGGCTCAATCGCCGGCTATAGCCACGAATGGCCGCGATAGAACGTTCTGCAGCCGGCGTTAGCCGTGAATAGTCAGCGATAGGACATTCAATAGCTGGCCACTTGTGGATAACGGCAATAACCATCCGCTGCCAAAACAGCCATCTGTAGCCGGCAACAGAATGTTCAGTATCCGGCGATTGGAAATACGCGTGTGCACGAGGGGCAATTAAAAAAGTAATTTTTTTCGAAAATCATCATAAGCGCCAGTGAATCTATGGTTTCTTTTCTAAAAATATTTTTCTTCAATTTTTTCTCAATAATTCTTACTTTTCCAAAATTTGATTTGATTTTGATTTTTTTTATTTGAATCGGCCATATACACTGTTAAAAATCGCTGATTCCGTCCAACGGAAAATCCGGATTGAGAATGAACAGGGGAGTGAGATTCAGCGCATAGGTGCTGAGATGTGTCGCATGAGTGCGCAAAGCACTCAGCATCGGAGCTTCAGTTGGGCCCTAAGTCACGCGCACCTAGGCTATCTCTCTCTCGCACTAGCGCTCTATACTGTCTCTTCTTCCCTTTAGGCCTACCAATCCAATGATGAAAATGAAAAATTTAAAGTTTAAATAAGTAAAATAATAGAATAGAATAGTGGAAATAATAGAGTAGCAGAAATAATAGAATTACAGAGACAATAGAAGAGAAATCAAATAAAGTAAATTAAATATATGATAAAATGAAGTCAAAGACTAAATTGAAGTAAAAAATTAGAGGGAGCAAGGAGATGAAGTAAAAAAATGAGGTGAAGAAAAAATAAAGTATAAGGGAAGAAACTAAATGAGGTTAAAGAATAGAATGAATTTAAAAAGTAAACATGATGAAGTATTAAAATAAATTACAGTAAAAAATAAAACAAAATAAAGGAATAAGAAGTAAATAATTTAAGAAAAAAAATGAAGTACTTGAAAAAATAAAATAGAGCGAAGAAAAAAATAGAGTCAGCAAGGAAATAAATCAAGTAAAACGATAAAATAAATTTAAAAAATATAGTAAAGTAAAAAGTAAAATAAATACACGGACAAATCCAGGCAGATTGAAAATATCCTAGTTTCCCGTTCAAATCGACGTTAAATATCGGTTTTGCGTCATATAAAGGCAGCATCTGGTGTAGCTTAATGGTTAGGGTCTTCGGTTTGTGTTAGGCAGGTCCCGGGTTCAATCCCTAAGGTAGGTAAAAATGTCTAATCTTCAAAATCGGGTAAATTACGTCCCAATAGTTTCATTATTATTATTTTTCATAGTTATTCAAAATTTATTTCCACAATTAACCCTTTTCCACCATCCCCTAGCTGCGAACCCCTAAATTTTCTATAGCCGGCAATTGAGAATTCCTACAGCCAGCCATAGGAATTCTCAATCGCCGGCTATAGAAAATTCCTATCGCCAAAAGGCCATGTTTCAATTTACCATAGGATTTTTCCTATGGCCGGGCTATAGGTAATTTGTATGGCTTATTTTTACCAGGGATTACATTGTGATTGACGGAAGGATTAATTAAGGAATTATTATGCTTTAGGAGAAAGATTAATCTTTGTGATTAAATAAAGAATCATAAAAACACAACTTTAAAGGGCCTAGATCTAAAGTCAACGGTATTGAGTATATACCTTCGAAAAAAGATCATCGCAAAAGCTAACAATACATTTGAGGGGCTTGGAGAACAAGGCGCATAAGTGCAGCTTTTGACAAATTGAGATTGCTAAAACTGCATTATTTAAGAATCGGAAAGTATTCATCGCGGGGGAATCAAGACAGCTTCGTTGGAAAAGAAACACATTTTTAATTAACATTAAATAAAATTTACATTGGAGTTGTCCGATTTTCAAAACGTAGAAACTAAAAACGATTGGAGACACAGAATTGATTTATTAAAATGAGTTGTGGTTTAATGTAGTCTCCCGTTTAGATATAACATAAACTTATAAACTTGAATTATTAGTACCTATTATTGGAATAACAAATAATAAATTTAACACTTAGGTAATACTGCCGTTATTGACAGAGCATCCCACAAACTTGCGGGTCGAAGTTGGGAGCGATCCCACAAAGAGATTCAGTGGCGTGGCTGTGGCGTGAATTGCGATATATCGATTGTTATGCCATTGAAACCCATGGAAAAGGATCGATAAGCAGGGTGTTCGGTGTTCGCAGCGAACACCTTAATAATCGATTCTTTACCATAGGTTTAAATGTCATAACAATCGATACATCGCAATTCACGCCACGCCACTGTGATTGTAACTGCAAACTAAAGCGCAGCTATGTATATCTTATTGAGGACGGAAATATTTTAGGATGATTAATTGGGAAAAAGGAGAAGATAAACCGATGAACGAGGAAAATTACCCCTTGGCTATGCCGCAATTTTTTAAATCATCCTTGGGTTACATATCAGACAAGAATGTACCACCAGACAAGGTCCGAATCATTCGGATGCAAGTTTCTCCCTCAAAATTTCACATAGAACACGGTTCGCGCAACAAAAACTGTTTACTATCTCCAAAACAAAATTAGAAAGGTTTTGCATAGCATTGGTTACGAAAAATTTGAATCTTCCGCTCTAATTAAAAACCAGTGTCTGCATGAATCAAATTGCGCAGTACAGCAGTTTTGGTAGGTTGCTAATGAGGTTTGCTCCTGCCCCAGCCTTTGTTGTTAAAATTGCAAACAACATGCAAAAGCTGAGCCGAGGCGCTGAGATCGAGGTTGCCGCAATTTCATACTTTAGAGCCAGCCCCGGTAACGTCTAGTGTGCGATTTGACTCAAGTAGATCATGTTTTTTTAATGAGCGGGATTTCTGTATCGAAAAACTTTGAAATCTTAGTTGGGAGTCACTTTCTGTAACTTGCGTTGTGAAAATCGTGTTCTACGTAAAATTTGAGGGGGAAAATACATTAAATGCTTAAACTCGCTTCTTGTCTTGTGGTTCACTTAACTTAATCGTTCTGTTAAATACGTGATTAAGAAAAATACGTTTAATGAAATGGCTTCCAGCATATCGATGGTGAAACTGCAGGAACGTGTATTTCGGGTTGCGACGTTGCAAACTTTCGGTTTAACGTCATTTCTTTTAATACTCTGCGTGAAAAATATTTGGTGGAAATTTCAAAGAATAGAACTGGCTTCTTCTCGTTTGATAAATTGAAATGGGAGCAGAGATTTTAATAAACCGCAAACGAGATACGGGCTCCAGTAATTTCACCGTCGACAGTGTAGAATTTTTCATTTGGTTTGATCAACCACAGAAATGTAACTCCTTAAATTTAAAAAAAAAGGACGTAAAAATTTAATCGCACCTGTGACTTACTTGAGTCCAAACTGTTTTCGGAAAAGCTCATCGTTCCTATGGACCACTTTGACAGTTACTTATTGTAAACAACTCCCTCAAGTTCTCGGTGACGTAGCTTGCTTTGCTATATATCGATCGATCTACCATTTAAATCAATGAAAAAGGATCGATAAACCGGGTGTATGCAACGAACACTTCAATAATCGATTCTTTATCATAGCTTCAAATGGTGAAATATCGATAATCGATCATTCACTCCTCGTCACAGTGCTACGGCCAAAAGTGCTGGATAGAAAGAGCCAAAGGTGAACACAACATCCTAAGGAAACTGGATGTTCATAGAATGGCACATAAAAATCGGGGATGACAAAAAATATTACATTTATAAGGTACTCTCTAGGAATTAATTACAAATATGCATCATGCAAGTCAATCGAGCGCATAAGTGATGATTTCTGCAAGTTGGCAGCGCTAATTTTCCTCTGTTCAATTCCATTATAATTAATCAATTTTTGATAAGGAATTAGGCAAAATAATAGATATGGAGTGTTTAATTTTTATTTGAATGAGCGAAGCCCTCTTTTGCCAACTTTTAAGAATCGTCACTAATCGAGCGTTTTATTTTTTTAACTGTCGATCCAAATTTTAACATGCTTACGGTGCTAACTTTTCTCTGATTCAACACTTAGATTTGCCCTTCTACAAGTAATTAAATCTAGACATATTGATTTTTATTGCGCTGGATTCAATGATAGTTTACAAAAATAGTAAACCGTATCTTTGACAATATTTGTCCCGTTATTATCTACATGTATAAAAAAAACCTACGTTTCTGATCACAAACGTATCAATGATATTTTGTAGAAAAAAGATCTAACGTTTACGGTTCCAAAATTGATTGTTTTCCCAGGGTTCTGAGGCACGTACTCTTTCTGCATGGCTCACAAAATTACCCTCTCAATTAAGCACCATTATTTTTGTGACTTTAAACCATTATGGTTCTCATACATCGGTTAAGTATCAAAAATGTAATTAAAGAGCTAACAGCATAAAGAGTCTGCTCTTCAAGAAGTAGATTCATGATTTTGCTCTCTGAATTTCAGTGATAGGAAGTTTAAATGCTCTTAGAATATGAGATCTTAAAAATTCAGTGAAAGGGATCTTATTTAGTTTGTCATATCATGCAAGTGGCAATTTCAAAGTAATGAGGAAGATCAACTTCAACACCATGATAGCTGAAAGGGAACATCGTATATTAGAGGATAGGTAACTAGTGTGCATAAAAAAAGTTCAATGCCTTTCAATTTTCAATAACGCACAAAATAGCTCGAGAAAAGGAAAAATGAAATAATGACGTCCAGAAAATTTGAATCTTTGGCACGATCAATAGAGATGTCCTAGGATAGGATCTCCAGTTTTTAAACGTGGACCTTTCTGCAAAACAGAAATGGATCCGTATTTTAATGAATATTTACTTGAGGAAGACTGGTCTAAACCACTTTCCAACACCTTTCATTCAGTGGCGTGGCGCGCTTTGCGATTCATCGATTGTTATACCATTTAAATCTGTGGAAAAAGATCGATAGAAACGGTGTTCGCAACGAACGCCTTAATAATCGATTCTTTACCATACCTTCAAATGGGGAAATATCAATAATCGATCGTTCATGCCTCGCCACTGCTTTTACTGTTCTTATTTATTCAGCCTAGTCCTAAGTTCTATCGCAGTTTTAAGTGAAATCTCTTTCATTTTACATATTTCATCTACTATTTTAAAGAGCTTGCATTTTCAATGAAAAAAGCAGGGGCGTGATGTAAGATTGAAAAGGGGCCATAAGACCCTGAAACTTGATGAAATTTCCTGCACCCCCCTCCCCCTCATCTCCATTCATCTGTATCCTCACGCCAGGTATAAGCAAAATCGGTTTGAGGAAAAATAGGGGGAGAAACCTAAACGGAAAACTTATATGCCCGCAACTAGCCGATTTGACGCTACTCTGCACTAGAATATAGTGACTCCTTCCTTAGATATCAAATGTCCAAAGAGTTGGCACAATAAATTTTCACAAAAAATGAAGTAAAAATTCCAACTATAGGAATACTATTCCAAGGCGTCATGTAACGGTGATATTTTTTACAGGATTAAAATCTCCTTTATGCATGGGAACTGAATTATAGCGTGTCTTAGCGGCGCACAGTGGAGCCAGCCCTTGGAGGACATGAAATTTTTGACAAAAATTGAAACATTTTACTTTTATCGCGTCACTATTTTAACTTTAAGAGGTGTTTCTTACGGAAAATTCTACGACAAAACCAATGAAACTACTTTTAAAACATCAACATTTAATATTAATGAAGATATTGGCTTTAAAGGTTTTTAAATCATGTTGGACTTCTCTGATTGACCTGATCCACCGTGCGGCGTGCCTAAATATGCGTATGAGAGGAATCTCGATCGATATATCGGATTCTTGTGAGAGATGCTTGTTTAAGGCTTACAACATTTGAAAATACTGTTTTAATTTACTAGGTACAACGAATGAAACTATCAGGAAAATGCAAGGTATGCATTTGAACATAATTCAATTTTATATGATACAAAATGTTTGACCTCACAGCTAATGACCCCGACAACTGGCCATTGCAAGTGCAGTTGACCCTTTTCACTCTTGTGTTCTTCTTTGTGCTTTATCCAAATACCTTGCGATACCAAAATACCTGCTGATAAGTAAAAACGTAAACTGTCCAGACTTTTCTGATTGAAAAGTCTAGCTTATATTTATAAAATTAACGTAAAAAAATTATTCTTTCCCGACCGAAGGTAGGAGGATATAAGACGAAACCCCATTTTGAGCTCAACAAGTAGAAAAGATGCACATCAATCTTACATATTAATGGAAATGACACCAGAATTTCATGTCATTTGAAACTTCTTGTATCGATTGCTATATTAATTTGATTAGAAATGCATTTTGAACGCTTTCTGAATCATACTGTACAGATCCTGCTGGCTCAGTTTTAGATGATATGAATTTTCATAAAAATATTCAAGGAACATCCTAAAACCATAAACATAAGTCTCTAAAGTTAGTTCATACCAATCAATTACATGCGAGTTCGTCAATTCATTTTTGAATTTACATAACTAAGGCCTCGACATCTCGGTGCATTAAGTAAACTCTACACGCATGAACGTTTCTTCTTCAGATTTTATTTCGCACCTTTCAATCGACCACTCTCCAAATAAAAGCCTTTGTTGATATCACTAAATAAGATTGCTATGTGACTGCCGTCGGTACACTTTTATGTTACACTGGACGTATGAATATTCTTCTCCCAAAGATTCTCCGTGTCGCGAACTTCATCTCCAGTTGCAATTTCATGCAGGGAAGTTGTTGCTTGTAATGTCTTGCAGCTATATACTAAAACGTGGACGGTCAACGATATCATGATCCGGAGATCGATCGAGCGATTGAAACATCGGGGGATCGAACGAATTAGCAAAACGCACGGAGAATCACGTCGTATCAGACTCTTGAATCGAACATTTGAAGAGATCGTACTATCACATCGTCCTGAAAAATTCAAGATAAATTTTATGAGTATTTATGAGGCATTTTAGACAATTACACGAGAATTACATGTTTTTTTGCAGAGAGAAAAACATTTTTTTTAAAAAAAATAGGTAAAATCAATTTAATTAATGTTTACGCCAACAAGCAATTAAAAGCTGTAAATTAAAATGGCAAAATATGCAAATCTTCAAAATTCCATCTATTAGGTAAACTTTACGAAAGTGTTTGACAAAATACTTGATTTAACACTGTTTACCTGGGACACAAGCATGCTCAGAATGGAGCATTGGAATCTCCGATGCTACCGCGATATTTTAGAAAAACCATTTATCAAAGAGCCTCCCTAAAAAAGGGCCTTTTTTGGCCCCTTTTCGGGAACCCGGGGATTTCGTTCGTTTGTGGCTTAAATGAAACCTTATGATGAGGTAAGCCTCCAGTAAAAATTTTAGCTTGAGTATACGTCTAGTTTCCGAGATACAGCGTTGCAAAGTTGGCATATTTGAGCTTTAAAATTCTCATATTCTCAGGTATCTTATTTTCTCAGAACGATTCAATTGGATGTTTTATGATATTTTGTGACATTTTATCAAATATTAGTATTATTATCGAATGCATATTTCAATTGAAACATTAATACTACTAATTCTGTTAATACAACGTTGCAAAGTTGACATAAAAACCTATAAAAAATGTTCATTTTATCAAGTTTCTTAACTTAAAAACGAACTTAGTGACGGCTAAAAGATATGCTTTTG